GGGGGGGGGGGGAATGACAAAAATGTTTGTACTACAAGAGTTTAAAACATGCTTGTTGCCAGTTTTGCCATTCATGTTGTTTTGCCTAATTTGCAGCAAAGGCATAAATTTAATATGGGATATCACGGCCTAAATGGCCGAAATGGACTTTGGCTGTTCATTTACACAGCATTTTATTGAGGCTCTTTTTAAGTTGAGGCTACATGGATGGTACTTTTGCTTAAGAAAAATAAAAAAGAAAGCAATTGGTCTGCCCCCTCCAAATCCACATACTTACTTGCATTCCCATGCTATATCTTTAGTTAGTTCACACACATGAGTCATAAATACATCAAGTCATTGAACACTGAGGAGACTGAGCTTAAATGGGTGGTGTTTATACATTAAATGCTCATTAGAAGCCATAAAGTCTATATGAATGTAGACTCTGCAAATGAGGATAGAGCTGCAGAGGGTTCTGATAGCACTTGATAAATCCCTCTCGCTGAAACAGCAGAACCTGAGGGTAGGCAGTCTGTGTTCTGGCCACAATCCCAAACTGAGGTGAAATAACTTGCTAATTCAAGGTTGCTCAATGACTTCCTATCTCAGTTATTCTGCTCATCCAATAAACATTTGTAGATCAACTACTATGTACAAGGCAGTCTGCTAGGTACAGAAAATTCATGGAAACAATCCTTGCCTTTGAAGAGTTCACAGGTGCGGTGGAAAAGACAGACATAAAAATAACTAAATCATAATATGGCCAGTTCCAATATAGAACCATAAACAAATACTATAGGAGCACAGAAGAGGGACAATTGATTCTGCCTGGAAAAGGTGGGTGGGCAGGGGCAACCCAGGAAAAGCTTCATAGAGAAAATAACTTATGAGGTGGGTCTTCAAAGATGAATTGGATTATCAAAAAGCGGAGAATGTGGGAAGGATTCACAAGTGAAGAAAAGTATAAGATAAAATGTTCAGAGATGGGAAAGTGAACAGTTTTAATTTTGGAATGATGAATAACCCAGGATGTCTTGTGTGTAGAGGGGTGTGTGGCCTATTTAATTGTTGAATGAATAAATGAATTAAGGAATAAATTAAGAAGGAGTTTGTCTACCAAAGAACGTATGGCAGAAGACATTTAAACTTTATCTTATATGCAGTTTTATTTTATAGGAAAAAGACATGACCATATATATAATTAAAAGCAAATAAACTAGTAAAAATACCATCTGCAAGTATTATGGAAAATGGGTGAGAATTTAAAAGGGACTGGAAGCTGAAGACAAGAAGACCAGGTAGGAGGCTTGTGCAACGAGTCTTCAGGAAGGAAATAAAAGGCTGAACTTGGTCAGTGGCAGGTTGGATGAAGAGAAGTGGGGGTGGATTTGGAGGATTTTTAAGAAGTAGAATTAGTAGAACTTTGTGATTACTGGATATGGAAATTATGAAAGATCTGGAGATTGTTCTTATCCTGGGCTCCACATTAGAATCACCTCAAAGTTCAAACAAACAAATAAACAAATAAAAAAAAAACTCTACTGATGCCTGCACCTCACTCCAGCTTAAATAAATCAGTATCTATGGGGGTAAGACGTGTACAAGAGTATTTTTTTTAACTCCACATGTGATTCTAATAGGCAATCAATGCTGGGAAGCACTAACAATGGGTAGTTAATACCAAGGGAATGGAAACTCAGGAAAGGTGTAGAGTGGTTTATGAAGGGCATATTAAGGAGGAAATGCTGGTGAAAAATATCTTTTTAGGGACAGTCAGAAGAAAATGAGGTAAAGATGGAGATTGAAAAAGAGTGGCCAGGAGGGAGAGAGCCGGGGCAGCGGCGGGCGCGGAAATTCTGAGCTGTGTAGCTCTAGGAAGAGAAACATTAGTTCAGAAGAAGCGAATAGACTTGTTAAGAATACATTTGGCTGCCATAAACAAATCAACAAATGACATGTGCTGGTGAGGTTGTGGAGAAAGGGGAACCCTAGTCCACTGCTGGTGGGAATGCAGACTGGTGCAACCACTATGGAAAACAATATGGAGGTTCCTCAAAAAAAAACAACTAAAAATGGAGCTGCCGTTTGACCCAGTGATTCCACTCCTAGGAATGTATCCTAAGAATCCTGAAACATTCATCAGAAAGAATATATGCACCCCCATGTTCATAGCAGCAGTTTACAATAGCCAAGATTTGGAAACAGCCCAAGTGCCCATCAGTAGATGAGTGGATAAAAAAGCTGTGGGACATTCACACCATGGAATACTACGCAGCTGTAAAGAAGAAGAATCTCATACCCTTTGGGACAGTATGGATGGACCTGGAGAATATTATGCTAAGTGAAATAAGCCAGGCAGCGAAAATATCACATGATCTCGCTTATACGTGGAATCTAAATAACTTAATAAACTGATGAGCAGAATAGATTCAATGACATGGAAGCATAGATGAGACTGATGAATGTAGAGGGATGGAGGAGGGTGGGTGGGTGGAGGGGGAGAGAGTAACCAAAGAATTTATATGCATATATGCACAGCCCAAGGACACAGACAATGGTAGGGAGAGGGACTGGGGAGGGGGAAGGAACGGGGTGGAACGGGTCATTGGGGAGAAAAAGGGACATCTGTAATATTTTAAACAAACAAACAAAAAAAAGAATACATTTGACTCCTCACAATGCAGTTAGGAAAACTTAAGGGAAGTATTTCACGGAGCTCAAGCCAAGGAAAGACCTCTGAGAACCAGCACAAAATAGGCCAGCAGCAGCAGAAATGGGGAATGACTGTTCGATTTGACTCAAGCTTGAGTAGACTGAGAAGAAGCTTGGCTGAGAAGCCCTATAAATGTACTGAATGTGAAAAAAGTTTCAGTCAGAGCTCGACACTTTTTCAACACCAGAAGATCCATACTGGAAAGAAATCTCATAAATGTGCTGATTGTGGGAAAAGTTTCTTTCAGAGTTCTAATCTCATTCAGAACCAACGGGTCTATACTGGGGAAAAGCCCTACAAATGTGATGAGTGTGGAGAAAGGTTTAAACAGAGCTCAAATCTCATCCAGCACCAGAGAATCCATGCTGGAGAAAAGCCCTATCAGTGTGATCAGTGTGGTCGATATTTCAGCCAGAGCTCCCACCTTATTCAGCATCAGAGAACCTATACAGGGGAGAAGCCCTACCACTGCAGTGAATGTGGCAAGTGCTTCAGCCAGAGCTCTCATCTTAAGCAGCACATGAAGGTGCACAAAGAAGAGAAGTCCCGCAAAACTCCAAGCAAAAATATTAGGGCAAAAACTCACTTAGTATCATCTTGGAAAACTGGTACAAGAAGGAAGTCAGTGGCTCATCTCCACTAAGCAAGGGACACTGTTTCAACTCTGTCTTTAAAAAAAAAAAAAAAAAAAAATGCTGTCTCTCAGAACTAGAGATACTTTATAATAGAGCACTTAAATACTGTATCCTTTCCTAGCATGGAGACATTGAGACATTGGGAGTTGAATGACATTGGGGGGGCAGAAAGAAATTACGTGAGTCCCACTGTTCTCATTTCTTTTTTATGTAACCTAGAGTACAAAGAACTGAAAACATNGAGTCCCACTGTCCTCATTTCTTTTTTATGTAACCTAGAGTACAAAGGACTGAAAACATTTTTTGAGAGAAGACCCTTGACCTCATTTGAAAGTGTTTCTTGCATACTTTTGACAAAAACAATCATGTCTTAATGACATATATAAAAATGTANAAAACAATCATGTTTTAATGACATATATAAAAATGTAGGCATTTCTATGACTCAGTTTTAAGACTTTCTATTGAAGGAGTAATAAAAGGGAAAAGACATTAATTCCATTGGTTTTGGAGTTCTGTAACATGAAATTTTATGTTTGTAAAGTTCCGTAGTATATTAATCATCAGTTTGTAAGTATGACTAAAGATTCACTGTATTAAAATGTATTGATGTTCACAGATTCTTAATCAACAAGGCCTATTATTCTATATTTACTTTCTTTTCTTTCTTTCCTTCTTGTGGACAGTTGTTAAAGGAGTAGAATTTCCCTGTTTTTCACTAAATTCTTAGTAAGAGATACTCTAGAAGTCAAAGTGAAAACTGAATTAGACCATAAGTCTTATTCCTACTAGCACTGTTCTTTGTGATGGTGTTACATTGTGTTAGTTGTTTTCCAGAAGTTGGGATGGATTTATATCGATCCATTCTTATGATTTCTTTTGGCATTCTCTTGTGCTCTGACAAACTGAGATAGCATTTTAGATCTACCTGAATAAGTAATTAAACCATAGTTAACCAAAACAATCTTAACTTGCTAATTAAAAATCTACTATGTATGTATGTACCTACCTACCCCTTTGAGAGTTTTAGGTAACCCTAAACAAATGTTTGTCAGTAGCAAAAGTTTCTTCATCCAAATGTCAGGACATTGTAGCTCAATGTGTAGATTTTGAAATCCAAGTTAAAATTTTCTGAGTTACATGAATTATTTACAAAGCCTAGCAAACATCTCAGCTACCATTTAAACATTCTGATCAGCAGCCTCCAGCTCAGATTTTAATTCTTTTGAATGCTAACATTCTTCTGATTTTTTTGTATCTTTTATAATCATGCCAGTTTCTGGTGTATTAATGAAAGTTATTCATAAAAATAAAAAATGGAATATTTTGTATAAAAAAGAAAAGAAAAGAAAAAGAGTGGCCAGCCCTAGCCTGTTTGGCTCAGTGGTTAGCATGTCAGCCTGTAGACTGTAAGGGTCCCAGGTTCAATTCCAGCCTAAGGGCATGTACCTCGGTTGCAGGTCAGAAGCAACCAATTGATGCATCTATCTCATATTGATGTTTCTCTCTCTCTCTCTCTCTCTCTCTCTCTCTCTTCCACTCTCTCTGAAAATCAATGGAAAAATTATCCTTGAGTGAGGGATAAAAAAAATTAAAAAGAGTGGCCAGAAGGATATGGACAGACTCAAGATAAAGTGGTGTCACTTGAGCAAAAAGGAAGAGGTATCAAAAAGAAAGGTGTGTTCAGCCCAGCCGGCGTGGCTCAGTGGTTGAGCGTCGACTTAGGATCCAGGCGATCGGGGTTCGCTTCCCGGTCAGGGCACATGCCCGGGTTGTGGGCTCGATCAATGACTCTCTCATCATTGATGTTTCTGTCTCTCTCTCTCCCTCTCCTTTCCTCTCTGAAATCAATAAAGATATATTAAAAAAAAAAAAGAAAAGAAAAAAAAGAAAGAAAGGTGTGTTCAGTAGCATCAAATGCTCAGTAGTGTCCGAACATACCAGCCTGGAATGGTTTACTGATGAACTAGCTGTTGCCTATTAAAGTTTTGAGTAAAAGAGAGATAGGTCAAGAAAATTATTAATCATTTGGATACTGTTCAGCTTTGGTAATGGCTAGATGCCCAAGAAGGAAGCACGGTATATTATAGTGGCTGGGGGGAGTGCCAAAGAAAAAAATCTGCCAGCCTCATAACTTTTCCCTGCCTTCAACCTCTGAATATCTAACTGAAAAATGCTTGACAAGTAACTAGAGCTCTGCCTCATAATCACCTTCTTTGGGAAAATTGGAAAGATCCAGAAGTAGTTCTGAGATCATCCAAGCAGAGTAGCTCTTACAAACCAGAGAATCAGAATCAGGGGTGGCTGGGTGGGGAGGGTACTTAGGGCATGTGTACCCTATGATAAGCCCAATCACAGTATGGTGACTAGAAAAGCTGTTATTCCTTGTCATGTTAGACTCCAAAGACAGCCATAGGATTGTAAAACAGTACTTCTGAGCTATAGAAGGAATGTATTACAGTGCCACCTGCTGGTAATGTGACCAGAAGCAAGTTTCTTTACTTTTTAAAATATCATGAATTCCCTGAGGCTAAAGATTGAAGAATACAGATAAATAAACTTCATTCTGACTTATAATTGAGGGTGATGTCTTACTCAGTAGCTTCTTTTATTCAAAAGACATTTTCATAATTGAAAATAAAGCTGTGATTGGACCTCCTTATTATAGTAAATGGAAAGCATGTGTACAGAAACATTAGAAGCCCAAGACTAGAATGTCCCACCAACCCTGACCCTTGCCTTCCAACATAAAGCACTTCAACCTATATTTCCATTCTAGATTCTCAATATATTTTTTATATTTTTAAAAACTAGTTATATACTCAAGACACCATCTGTCTAGCTACTTGTTTCTGTGCAAATATATCTCTCTAACTAGTTGAATTGTATACTATCCTCCAGCCAATCTGGGCTACTTAGTGCTCAAAAATAGCCTGCACTTTGGCATCCATACATTTCCTGCTGCTGTCCCCTCTGCTAAGAATATCGCCCCATCACTATTCCCATTCATGCCCAATGTCAAATGACATCTCTTTCCTTATCACTCTCACCTCCCAGCTGGAAATAATTTCTCTTTTATGTGAACTGTATCTGTATCTCTTTCATGACACTTATTTTATACCTTTTATAACAGTTGTAAACAAGACATATCCGTGGTGTAGTGAAAAGAGCATAAACTTTGAAATTAGTCCATGGTCTAAAACCTGGATTTGACATTTAATAGTTGGTGAACTTAAACTTATCCTCCCTGAGCTTCAGTTTTCTCATCTGTAAAATAAGGATAATGATGCCCACACAAAGGGGCACTATGACAGAAAATTTAAGAGAATTACTAGCAAGTCAGTTATAGCTGGGTTTAATTCCTGGTTCTACCCCTTACTAGCTATATGAAAGTGGTCAAATTATTTATTCACTCAAAGCCTCAGTTTCCTCATATGTAAAATGAGACAATAGTTTGACTTACGTACCTTGGTGTCTTTGTGTGAGGAGGCAATGTGTATAAAATGGCTGACATATAGCTACACTCAATGCTTGTTAGTTTCTCCCTTCCCTTATGATTTACTAAATTCCTTGGGGGCAAAGAACATGCTTTGTCTATTTCTGATCACCAAAAAGTACCCAGTACAGGGCTTTTTTACAAAGTGTGCTTATATGTTTGGTAAATTAACAAATGTCATGATTCTATGATATTTCTTAGCAGAATTTAATTCCAGGCAACTACTGTCTCATTTCTCCACAAAGCCGTTATACCAAATATGTGTCATGCATCTCAAGGGTTTAATGAGAGCCTCTTAAAACCATGTGTTTCTTGTCTGTAGCCATTTAGGGAGAGTACACTTAAATACAGGTCTCCTAAGTCATATCTACAGAGAGTGGCAGGGCCTGACTCTTCTTAGCCTAGGGGGAGGTCATTGAATTTCAAGGCATTTCTTTTTAGAGAAGATGAGTTCTGATGCAGTCCTCAAAAAGCATTGTGCTTCTCTATGATAGTTTCAAATAAATATACGGCAGCAGAAATAGGGCAAGAATCAGAATATGAAGAAAAGTTTAAACCTGCATATTCAGTATTCCTCTAATGGACTAGGAGTGTCATGCATTATTTAAAGAAATCTCTGGATGCCAGCCTCCCCTAGGACCAAACTAAATAGGCAGTAATGGTGTACTCTTGCAGAGCACATATTTCATTTAGGGCAAATTATACCTGTAGAAGTCAACAGAGCCACAAGGGATGCACTTTAGACTGCCATGCCTACATGAGTTGGGTTATGATAGAAACTAAACTAGCAGAAATTATATGCATTCAAAGCTTTTCTCCACTTGAGCATATACAGTATCCTTTCATTCCAAAATAACAGAGTAGAAAGAAGTCCATTCACTATAGTTCTTGACTGCTCTTGTTGATATGCTAAATCACATGAAAATTAATAGAATGCTCAATTTCTTCTTACTTCTCTCTCACTCTTTCCCATTATGGACAGTAATGAATCCAACACAATACCAAGATTGGCAACTTCTTTCTGTATTTGGGTGATGCTACACAGCTGGACAAGACCCCATGCGGAACTGTTTTCAGAATTTCCTGCTTTTAAATTCATTAAATATTTTCATTAGCTTAATTACTGACACATTTTCATTTAAAGAGGGCCAGTGTCATAAAGGACTTCAATATTTTATTCATAGCAGATGTTGTTGTATGCAGCAACCAAAATAATGAATTTAAGTCTTAGTTCATATGCTTTCCTCTTCCTCTGCCATTCTTCATTGCCCAAACTCTTAATGGAAGGGCCAGAGATTTCCCGTTCCAGATTGCTTTGCTGCTTTCCTAATCCTCAGTCTCTCTCCCTTTCTCTCTCTCTCTCTCTCTCTCTCTCTCTCTCTTTGAATCCAAGAAAAATACTCATAGCCAAGATGGGGATTTTAGTAAACAATGAGATGGTTTTTCATTTGGGTTTAGATTGGCAAATATTCTTCAATTGAGAATATTCAGCTAGTAAATGTGTAATGAGAG